GGGTAATCCAACGGAATGCTTCCAATATTCGTGATATCAGATGATACGTCCGGAACGGGTTTTCGCACCAGCGTCGACGTACCTATCCCGGGTTTCCGCGGTTCCCCAAAATGATATGAAGAGTACAGGAGAAAAACGGTAGTAGTCCATATCTATAAATTTTCCAAGAGTGCAAAAACAACCGTATGGATTACAATCATTCTTCACCGGTATAACTAATCTTTTCCGTTAATACTAGCGAAATGAGATATTTTTTTTACTGGATCAATTTCAACACTCAATATTACTCCCGATTTGCTATCGAATCAAACATTTAATACAAAACCGAAGAAAAAGGACTACTATGATTTTTATCCTGTACCCCTTCACACAACAATAAGCGTGCGAGAACGATGACGACGACCGTCGGTGCGAACGTCGGAGACACGAGACGGACGGGTACACTCACCACGTGTGCCAGTAGTACGGTAACAGTTTCATGGTGACCGGCAGGTGTCCAGTGGCGACGGGGATCCAACAGGCGGCGGGAGGGCGAGTCCCGGACACTAAACGATCGCCGCGGTGCCAGACACTGTAGAATGCAACGATATCACGAACGGCGGCGGCGGCGGCAGCGGCGGCGACGGCTTTCGCAAGGTACGACGAGCATACTATCGCGGATAGAAGGACGTCGCGCGGACAACGCGAACATCGAACTGGCGCGTCAATTGTTATGTGCGTCAGGAACGCACCGGGAGAACCGGACCGCCGCCGCCGCCGACCAAACGACGATCCTGACGGGGGGAGGGGAGCCGTCGTCGGCGGCGGCGTCGTCGTCGTCGTATACCTGTGCGTTCGTGCGTGCGGGTGCGGGTGAACAAGTGGCGCGCGCCCGTTCTCTTCGACGGTCGGTTAGGTTAGGCGGCGCGTCCGGTGCACCGTCTGGTACCTGCAGCACCAGCACCAGCAGCAGTCAACGCGTGCACCGTACGGTGTCGGTGGTATGCGCGCGTACGACCGACCCTGGAACGGACGATGTTGCTGCGCAGCGGACACACAGGTACACGGGCGAGGCGGTGCGCCGCGCGTGTACCTGTCGTGGAATTCCTGACGACCCTTTGTCACACGAGTCGCACGCACGCACGCGTCCGGCTAGCGGAGCGTGGGGTGCCGAAGGGAGGAGGTAGGATAAATAATGTACAAACAGATCGTACAAAAGGTACAAAACATAACCCGAATAACATGCACGCACGATAAATAATAATAATACGATTATGAGTACGCACGACGCAGTTAGCCCGAGAGATTCGTTTTCCCCGCAGACGGACCACGCACTTTGTACACCCCTGCGCGTTCGTTATATAGTTATTACTATCATTATCATTATCATTATTGTTGTTGTTGTTATTGTTGTTGTTGTTGTTGTTGTTGTTACTTGTTGGAAATGAAAAAAAAACCTATACCTAATACAATACGTCTCGCCGTCCGGCTCCGTGTGTATACCTTCCAGGACGACGTCACGGTGCCGTAACCGGGATTACTAAAAGGGTAGGAGGCGGTATAATAATTATAATCGAAATCACGTTTCCGTCGTTATGAATTTTCCCTTTTTTAAATTCATAACGCAATACGTACCACCGCGTGATTTAGTCACATACGCACCATTATATTTCAGCGTCAATATAAAACCTAAACATTATTTATATTTTATCCATCGTAATAGAAGTTATCTTTATGGATACCTAACCTACCTGCTTAACCAGATGGCTCTTGGTTGATTTTATATTACACTATTCCTTCACATCATATTTTAATCGTACCAATTCTATTATGCGAGTATACATGTTTAAAAACTGCTGTCAATGGGGAGGTGGATTGGAGCAAGGCCCCCTCAGACCTCCCCCCCCCCATAAAGCTCTAAGCCACTTTGGCGTTATTTACGTTCACTCCGGATTCGAATAATTTTAACAACACTCCCCGGTGTCTTTGTGAGAATTTCGTTATGAATATTATTTACAGACGACTTTTTTTCCAAATACAAGTATTTTTCAAATATGTCTACTCGTATACATACAACAGGTGATATTATTGTTAACTATAGTATGTATAACCGAAATGCAATAATTATTATTTGATCCGATAAACTTTTTACAATACGTTGAACAGTCGTTAAAAACGAAAATCCCCTTATAATTATAATATCGGGGATTTTAATATCGAGCCACTTTGACTGCAAAGTAATCATACCACATTATACGTAGGTATTAAAACAATCGATAAGTTTGTATTTTCTAAAAACTTATAGACGTAAAATATCAGTACCTAAGTTAGACGTAATCGTTCGTACAGTTCTCTTTGTGCTCGGATGTGTGTAATGTAATGTAGTACGTACATGACATGGTTTTGGTTTTATAATCAATAACTGGTTATGTCACGTGTTCGTATGACAACGGAGGGGATAAGGGAAGAGGTGCGTTTATTCATAATTTTCCTCTCCGTTTAGTACGACCAAGTCAACATTTTCGCTGGAAAAAAGAATAATCGTCACGGTGCTTAATAATTTATCAACCGTGTCGTTTGACTACACGAAATACTGTACTACACAGAACAGACCACTGTCCGATTTTTGTTGGAAATCTGTCAACACACAATCTGAAACATCGTATTATAATATGTTGCTGAAATTCCCGGAAAAGTCCGGCCACAAATTAACGACAGTATATTTTAAACCGAATGGTTATTTTAAAACGACATTATAATTACGACGTACTTAGAACACGTATTGGGTGCATTAAACGTGTAATTGTTTCTGGTCGACGTCTACATTCAAACAAGCGAAATACCAATTAATTTGTATGATTTGCTGCATTTCATTGAATATCAAAGGGTACTATGCGAACTCGAAACTTAAACATATTTTTAAAGAGCTAATTCCACTAGAAAATGTGAACAATCGAAAATTTAAATAATATATATAACGATTGGTTCTCGTATAATAATATCCAACCCAACATGATATCGTCAAATCGAGCAGACGGAATAAAAACGCTCGTTTGTACGGAAAATATTGCTGCGACTCGCAGGCATAATATAATGACCGTCTGAGATTGTTTCGGGCTAATACATATAGGATATCGCTGTTCGTGTACTACTCATTCGATGCTGACGCTCATGTTTTTTAATTACCAACAAACACGCCGAATTATATTGTTACGTCGGTCTACCGTGTACACCGAATACGAAAAGCAGTCGGTAGAAACACTCCCTTTGTTACGCGTAATGCCCCGCAGTAAATAAAAGACAGGTGGACCGTAAAAAAATAAACAGCCCTCTTCGAAATCACCGTCTATTTGGAGGGGAAAACCTTAAAACGTTCGTGTTCTCGCATAACTTCTTCATTGTCCGCGTTACCACCGGTCGTTTTTTTCAACCATACACTGGCTGTAGTGGGCGGAATCATGGCACTGCAGTTCTCCCTACTGTGTAGACTTCGCTCCCCGTGTAGACGAAAAACCATAAAATATTAAAACTACCTGCACTGCACGTTACGCCTCGAATGAAAAGAGAAAAAAACGATTCGAGTAACTTGTTTGAATTGCACACGAACATCACATTTTGAAATACTGATGACTAAAAAACTGTTAGCAAAAGTTAAATCGTCTGCGAGACGCTCGATAAAATATTACGTTTTTGCGTGCGTTAAAATGATGACAAAATAAATTTCAAGAACAAAGAATCTGCAGTATATAGTAATACTATATATACGGTTTTAATAATTAAAATATAAACGTAATACCGAACATGAATAACCTCCAGTGTTTAAAATGTTTTTTGTTAAGTGTTGTTAAAATAATAATTTTAATATGATTAAAATATATTTATTTTTTTTGCAACAATTTGCTTACTTATCATCGCAATACCCCAGTGGCCAATACTAACCGCAAAAGATATAGCAACAACCCTATATATATAATAAAATATTGTCAAGTAAGAATATTTTCTTAAAACTACGATAAAAATTATTAAAATGTTTTTTCTTTTTCAAGTTTGTCACGTTTTAACTTATTTTTGAAACATTTAGATAAGATATATTGATATTTTTAATTAATATACTACGTATAATTATTAAAAAAAATTTGCTGTCGCAAAAATCACTATCTACAGTTTCAGATGATTTACACAGTGAAATCAATTGTTAAAAAGAAAAAAAACTATGGCAAAATAATGATAACTTTTATACATTATAATATATACCTATGTAATCACTGAAATGTATTATATTTTTTATTTTTTTATCATAACTAGACATATCATGAATAAATACTTATATATATATATATATTATGAGTATTCAGTTTTAATAAAATACTTTGTCATATGATTACCACAATAAATTTTGAAAGGATTTTTTATTTTATTATGCTCAACACTGTGTATTTAATACTAATCAAAAATAAATACATTTAGCTTCGTAGTATGTAGGATGAGTAGTGTGACATGGATAACAATTACCATACGCGTGTTTTTTTATTAATATTTCTTGTGTACACATAATTTAATGAAGAGATGAATTTCAAAGAATCTTTCACTTTCTCAGAGCGATATAATATTAAGAAAATTCAAAACCCTACACAGTTTAAAGTTCCTTAGAATATCTTTAACTTATTACAGATTTATTATACGAATATTTATCGTAAAGTACAAAGAGAAAATTCTTAACTTACTGCTAATATGGATGAAAAATAATCCACCAGTATGACGAAACAAAATTATTACGTGTTCTATATGAGCAAATAATATCAATATAAATAATAGTAAGAAACATCGAAAGATGTTCAAATATTTGAATACATCTTACTTTTATATTTTGTATTCACATTTTATTACTAACCCGATAAATTGTATACGATGCATTTTATGATTAACTGTTATGTATTATACAATTTTAGCATGATTTATCGTTCAATAGCGCCTTAAACTAAATGTTATTGTTATAGTAATATTTTTATCACACCACTAACCTGATTTGTGTTTCGTTAGTCTCGTCGACGATTTTCAGTCTATTATTACTCTCAGTGCCATCTTTACAGATAAGAATCTCGGTATGACCATTGTTGAATGGTGAACTAGGTCTTCTGGATGATTTAGGATCGGATTGTTCGATTAATTTATTGCCGTTTTCGATTGGGCATGGAGAACCGACACAGCTACTGTGTACTTTATTGTCCAAAAAATCGTTGAGTTCAGTTGTCGGATGCAATTGACGCATCAACTAAATAAAAATTAAAATTAAAATGTATTCCGTTCATTAAAATAATATTTAATATAAATTATTGCATTTCTTAATAATGTGAAAATCATAATTTTGGTGCACAATAATTACACAATAAAATCATTATGATTACTACCTATAAAATCAATATCGACATTTTTTTTAAATACGTAAATAGAAATTGTTTACTTGTAATGTTTGGATATATTACAATTTTTTGTTTTTAAATAAATTAATTCTGTAGTCTTCTTAATAATTTTAAATAAGATCTTTACCAAAATAAAAGTAGATGGTATTAATTAATATGTACGCACTTAGTTTAACAATAAATGTACATTTTCGAATGATTCGTTAGGAATAAATAAATTAAAACGAAAAAATATTTCACTCAAATTCTCAATAGTACCTAGAAAGACGACCCATCTTAATTAGTCATTAATGTGTATTGAATTATTAGAATAATGAATGGTGATTAAATAAATATTAAAATCCTTTTAAGAGGACGAAATACCAATAAAATACTTAGTACCTACGAAAATACAACCAAATAACAAACAAATATATAGTTTCAAAATAATATTAGTTTTTTAATTATTTGAATTATTTATAATGTTTATGAAAATTAAATTTTAAGCAAAAATTTCAATTTGACCAAGAGAATAAATTAAATTATTAGGTGCGAGAATAAGGTTTTCAAATAGTTAAAGGGAACGTTTCGGCGCCATTGGGTCGTACCTATTTGAACCTTTTTGCAGGTCAAACCCTCCTGAAACACAGAAACGTGTCTAATTAACTGACTCATAAATCTTGACGGTATATAAAACAGGCCAACTTAGTTTTCACGTTGTGTGGTGTCCGATTTCAAATTGAAGTTTTTGACCACCACTCATATTTCAACGTCGGAGATTATTTCTCATTAAAGGAAACCACCCAAATGATTGGTTAAAATAATATCAATTTTGAAATTCTCAACATTTTGCAACCCGTGTGAAAGTATAAAACATATATTTATACACTGTTATACACTGCATAATAACAAATATTAGTAAATGTATTATGTTCACACAACGCAATCGAATATTTAAGTAATAAAAACAATGAATAATTATTATTAAATATCATTAGACATTAAATAATATCACTGATCATCTTTTATATAGTATTTGATAATATATTGAATTAATTTCTTTTTATAAATAACTATCATTAAATTGTACATAAAATTCGCTTCCTCCGTGTAAAATAAACGTAAAAATTATCTAGTTTTAAATTTAAGTTCGGTTAAGAAAAAATTTAAAAAAATCAATGAATATTTTTTTGTGATTTTTTCAAAATAATATAAATTTAATTACAGTATTATAATTAATTTATACAGTAAAATATTATGTTTGATTTAATTTTCATGTTCGTAAATCAAAAGTGATATTTTACATAAACACTTTAAACAATATTCGTAGTAATCTATTTTAATCGTATTTTTTCGCAAGATTGAAATAGAATTATTCAAATAGTTCATTATATTAAACATGGTGATGCAATACAATAGCCAAAAATAAATTAGTACCATAACAGTTGGGACGGCAAATAAACAAATTATCGTTATTTGTTATTGATTTACACGGAAAATTATAACAATGTACTAGCACACCGCGGAATTCTCCGCACATACCATTTAACTTTCTTTCGTGTATACGAAATTGCATATACCAGCTGCCGTTTTGAAATATAAATAAGGTTTCGCATTCAATGGTGAAGTACGAAGGTAAAATGCTTTAACGAAAGGTATCGACATTGTTTGCTATACAACACATTATTATGAAATATGTTGCAAAGTAAAAATGAAATATTATATAAGGCTTGACGAATAATTTACATGATTTACAAACGAAATACTGAATAAAAAATAAAAAATACAAAAAATGAGTGTACACTTTAATTCATAAAATTTCATGTGTAGTCAACAATCTGAGCGAAAAATTGAAACTGACTGAGACATTCGTGTTTAATACAATAATTTAGTAAAATACATTTATTTTACAATATTTGTCGAATTAATTAAATATAACGCGGTGCAGTTTAAATTATAACTCGTACAGCGTGAATTAGGATGTGCGTACACATGAATACAAAATACTGATTTCGAAATAAAGTTGTAGTGTTATATTGTTTGGAATAAAAATCATGTTTTTATATAGAAATAACGGATGGATAAATTTAAATTCAATGAGTATCTACATTAATTATGTTTAAATTGTATACAGTTGATTACATTGGAATACACAACTGTATATTGTAATACCTGACTCGTATCGCACTTAAGGGTTGCTTAAACATTTACGTAGTAAAAACAAATAAAGCACAGCAACAAGTCGTCTTGATCGAACGCAGTGTCAATAGAAAAAAAAAAAAATTGGTTTTTTAATTTTTGTGTCGAGTCAGTTTGACATTTTAAAATTCATATGTTAAAGTAAGACCATTTATTACACGATTATTGTTACTACCTATCTGTTACTATCTTACTGATCCTTTAGAATACAATATAGGTCTCGCGTTCAAAACGTACCTGATGAGCCAATTTAGTAATGTCGACTGGTGTGATACGTTTGCTAGCGGCCAGCCGTTCCAAACGTTCTTTGGCTTCGTCTTCGATCCCGATGAAAAAGGCATCGTGAACTTGACCCAGATCGGAACCCGCCGAGTCGATGCTGGTCGTGACGACTAAACGACAACAAATAAACACAAATACGGAAACAATTATTAAAAACGTATACGCATCATGCATATATATGATGTGTATCGCGCGCACGTACGATAATACTATTACGGATTCTTCGCGCCAAAACCACCATTCGCTATCTCGAGCCGAACCTTATTGGTTCTCAAACTTTTTTATTCGTCGAGCCCTCGAGGTACTATGAAAAATCCGCGGAGCCCAAAAAACAGTGAATGCCAATTTTAAAATGAAAAATAATATTATGTACAGGTGATCTGCGTTTTACCAAATCCGTTTCTTTACAATACACATCGTCGGCACTATACGGTCCAAGTAATTTTCAGACGTTACGGTCCAAATGATGTAATAATCTATAAAAATGTAACTATTTGATTGATGACAAAGTCGGATATTGATATAATGCAGATGTCCTCGCGGAGCTTCCGGCGGTGACCAAAGACTCGGAGCGCAGTTTGAAAACCGCTGTTGTAGACGATAATATTGAAATATGATGTGTTTACGATTCGTCGTTGACGACAAGTAAACCGGTTACTGCGATATCGGTGTGTTATCAGCGAAGAAATTGATACCGGTCATCGTTCCCCGGAGAAACTTGAGGTTTTCCAAGTGACCTACTCTCCGCCCGACCACGACACATCCGATTTCTTTCTAAATTATTGTTATTAATAAATAACACTACGCGTGTGCATTGCACCGATTTGCAATGCTGTAATGGCGTGGCGCATTATCGTATTCGCCGAACACCGCTCGTTGTTTTCTTTTCTTTTTGATTTTACGTCGGATTTACGGAAATCTCATTTCACGCGAACTCATTGCACACTGTTGCTATACCGAGCGGATACGTGATGAGTTAATTAATCGAACAAACGTATTTTGTACTGTGGAACGTATAATGTACAATTGTAATAAATTATGTATGCGACGTCGTTTACAAAATCGACTTTCCATTCTAGATGTATCTGAACTGTTAAACGCACTTTTACCATCCAAAAATACCGATTTCTAAGAACAATAATAAATTTACTTCATATTTGTAATTTTCTCCGTTTGTTCCACAGTTAGGAAATTAATCATTTTGACACTGATTCTATTACGTGGCACGTGCAATGTACATCGAAACACAATTGTATTGGTTTCGTATATTTTATGGCTTTCAACCCCCCAGTTCTCATTAAATTTGTGTAATTGCTTCAATTGTGTAATTATTTCTTTAAACGAAAACAAATGAAACCTCAAAATTCACGCGGATGCACTTTTGGAAAAGAAGCTTTCTACTGAGTACCAAAAATCAATTTGAAGCTTTTCTTCAAGGACATTCAAACTGTTTATACAACGTCAACACATTTATTGAACCTACGAGTACATTCATATATTTATTTATTTCTTGTGTGTTAGACTGTATTATAGTCTTATACAATGTTAACTGATGATTATTATCATTAATATTATTATTTATTTTATTATTACGATTACTTTGATTTAATTATAAAATAATATATTTGAATTATTTAATTTTAATTATCTTATGATCAAACTAACTAAACGGTTTTTGCTAAAAGCTACTAAATGTTTCAATAAGAATAAGAATCAAAATTAATTAGAAATTGATACAATTGAAGTACGTAAACTTTGCGTTTTCGGTGTAATAAAACAAAACCTGTCAAGGCACCATCATTCATGACGAAATTTCCACAGCGAAAATGCATTACTTCTCAATTCGAGAGCGAGAGAGCCTCCGCGAAAACGTGCACACGTCTAAAACTGTAATCTATTCTAAAATCACAGCTGTGTCTAATGTTCGTATAATGTGAACGTATATTGGTTAACAACTATCTCGACTCGTTACGAAGTCAAACCGCGAGGAAAAACAAAAATAATCGACTTCAAACTAGTTTTTAAGATTTTAATAACAACGTTTTTTTGTTATGTTATTCATTAATCGAGTAATTTTTAATCGCATTTAAAAAATATACCTATATATTATTGTAATAGCCGTTGGCAATTTAATAGTAAATAATGTGACTACTAACAATCGGTACATAAACAAATTAAAAGTGTATGTAGGAAAACTTCCGGCGTTTAATTTTTAATGCTAATTATTCTGCTGCACAATACTCAGGTGTGTCTGTATTTCACAACAGAATAATTGACATACCAAATTTAAATTAGGTAGCAATATTATAATGTTATGGTGAGCATTCTAAAATATCGAACAAAAAAATAAAAACAACTCGGAGAGACAAAAATCAAATTAATATAGTTGATTTTAATTAAATAAGTAAAACCATAGTATGGTTGGTTTTAAACATTTCTACTTAAAAAAATCGATGTATTTTCCAGAATACCTATTTCTACCCGAGTATACGAACAATAATGTGGGATTTTTACTACGTGTCTTACGTTATTCCAATTTGATGCTGGAATACTTAACTTGATAACATAAACTGAAGAATTTATATTGTTAAGTAATAGTCACGACACATACGTTATCAGCACACATAATAAATACCAATAGTGGGCTTGTTCGTACAAGTTATTAGACATAAGAGCCATCGGGAAGTAAATATAGAAAAATATAACAATATATTTTCTATATTTTGTTCAAAATTCTGACATTTAAAGTGATTATATTTTCAAACAAATCTATTAAAATATGAATAGTATAATGTAAACACTGTGTTGATACTACATAAGCTGACCATTGATCATATATTCGAAATATTTGTATTCTATTGCAATTAGATGCGTCTCTAGAAGAAAGGCATATGTTATAAATTTGTCGTTATTGGTTTTTTCTTGGAAGAAGGACAAATGTAGCATGGTAAACAAGTAGGTAAGGATTTAGTTCTCCTCACAGTCTTGTTTAACATGTTTTACTACAAATTGTTTAAGTTTATAAATTATTTGAATATGTATTTGAAAGTTTCATGGTGTTAATAAATTATTCAAAAAATCAAAAATGAAACTTATAGTATTAATGTTATTATCCAAAACGATTGTGAAGAAGGTCATATGTTACACCTGATGTTTATTAAATTCTTCAGCTGCGCGCTTTCTTTTTTTCATTCCTCCTGTAAAATTTTAAATTTGTAACATATGCCCTTCTTCTAGAGACCCATTAAATTGTAATGAAGCGCAACATCGAATTGCGTATTATCTGGTTGTACCAAGTATGTGTTCAAGTCAAAATTAAAACAGATACAAATTATGTCTTTAGAGTTTCCAACTACAAAACGATTAATAGATAGAAGTAATTTCGTTTTTTTTCTTTTCTTAAACTCATTATTAACTATGATTTACAACTTAAAATTATATTATCTTAATGAACAATAGTAAAAAGATTCTAACTGTGAAGCATTGTATTTATCAAACATAACAAAATAATATGTTAAATATTTAAAATGATATTATCTGCGACACGTATAGAAGTTATACATTATAACGTGTATACTAATGCCAAGTCATGAAAACTATTCCATTTCGTTCACTTTCCAATTAAATTGTCTTAATGAAGTAAATATTAAGGTAAAAAGTTTAGCAGTTTTTATTCTACAATAGGTATAGATAGCACATAATACACGTTTTATTATAAGTGCTATTTTAACCGGTTTCTTATTGTACTTACCTAAACATATATTTAAAAACATTTTGATATTACAAAACTAGCTGGTAAGTATGTAAAAATATTATAATAATACTACAATAGTTGTTAATAAAATATATAGAAATATATGAGCATTAAAATGTTAATTAAATGAATAAATGTGCGACGGAATTCAATTCAATAATTTAACTAACAATATAAAATCATTAGTTTCTAAGGTATAGTTATCTAATAAGAAATATAACAGTACTTGTTATGTACTATTATACCCGAATACTTGAGTATAAAATATATTATTTTGAAAACAAAAAACGAGCAATAGTATTTTTTGAAGTAATTAAGATTTTCATAAAAAATAATTTCCAGCACAAAGTAAATCGATTTCTTTTACTCTGGATTTTCGATCCATAATCACAATTTTAAAAACCTATTATTTTTATCTTTAGATTCTTGTAACATTTATCAATTTATCTCATGTAAATTAAAATGTGTGAATAAATTTCAGGACCTTTGCCATTTTATTTTAAAAAATAGAAAAAATTATTAGAATTGTAATATTTTATTTTAAGTTTTACGGCTTGCTATATGTAATAAGAATAGTAGTGCGCCGATTCTAAACACACGCGTTATCAATAAATGTGAGTTTGTAAAAATATAAATAATTCATCAGGCAGAATTGTAGATAATTATGAAGTAAACACGTTCAAGCGTAATTACTTTGATAAATTTCAATGTTTGCAATAATTTTCAATATTATCGCTTGTTTATAGCTGAATTAGTCACTGAAATGGCCTTGAAATAGAAATCTAATAAAAACCGTGTAGTTATAATTCTTGAAACTAATGATGTATCAATGGACATTTGCGCAGTACGCTGGTATATTAACATAATATGCTAAGTTGATCCAGTCCGAGAATTATTTACACAAAATTATGTATTCATTTAAAAATTAAATTTACAACAGTAAAAATGATACACGAGTTATAAACTTCAGAAAATTAAAACTCATAATATTGTTCCTTTTTTGTAAATACCATAAGTATCGAATTATTTTTATGAAAATTATTTAATTTCAGTTGGAAAAAAAATAATAATAATAATAATGTCTCATAGCAATGCACATTAAAAAACAAAATATTAATAAATTATAATATCTTATAAAAAAAATTTGATTTAGTTTCTATAGTGCATTTACACAACCATTGATTATACAAATAATATAAATATATAGATGAGATAGGTTTTGTATGGTAATAAAATATACACGTGAACGTATATCTGAATAGCAGAGCTATAAAATTCATTGAAAACATGAACAATAAAAAAAAAAAATTTACAACTAGACTATCGGAATACATTAGTGGCGTAAAGGTATTCTGT